GGTCCCGTTTATCCTACCCTTCATCTCAAATGTTATAAGTACAGCTATAAAACGCTGCTTAAGAAGGGCGGGCTTAGAGAATTCGGTGAGCGTAGTTGAAATACCACCGAGTAATCTTAAGCGCCAGCTAGTTCGTAACCGCCTATATAACCGTCTATGTGCAACTCAAAATTGCATAATTTGCCCCAGTGGTAGAGACGGTGATTGCATGAGCTCGGGTATAGTTTATCTGATCTCCTGTAAGACGTGTGGTGACGAATACATTGGCGAAACGGGTGGACCCCTCTGTGTCCGCATGAAAGAACACCTAGCCGGCAAAAATAGACCAAATACCCCGCTAGGCACGCATAGGACCCAGAGACATAACGGGGACGACTTCGAAGTATGTGTCACGATCCTCGCACGCGAATCAAGAACACAGGCGCGAAAAACTCTCGAGGCACTCTGGATTAATTCCAGAAATCCGAAAATGAACCGCAGGGAAGAATGCCTCATTATCACGCGTGATATAGGGCAGTATATAAAACTGCTTTTCTGATGTGAGGGGTACATTATACTTCCACGTGATTTCTGTGCGGTTGGTCTCTACGTGACATACTTAGTGGAAACCTCATAGGAAGCGGTGAGTGTGCAAAGCTGTGTTCAATGTGATTGAAATCTTGGTTTGGAGTTTCTTTGTTTGGTTATGGAGGCGTCTGGCCGAGTAGATTGCTATCAACTTGACCTTTCCAGGCTCTGAGGAAGGCGAAATCCGCCGAAACGTCAGCTTAATCGTGAACAAAGAATAGTAACACCTCGCGTTTGCTCAACAAAAATACGAAGAAAATCACTTGATCAATGCCGAGGTTAATAGAAAGTCGGTCGTGGCAGTAGTGTATACGTTTTAACAAATAACTACAGGTTGAGACACATTGGTAATTTAACTTTGAGTTTAAAAATGTTTTTAAATCTGCCACTATTGCCACTTCGAGCTTTTCCGTTTCCAATTTTCCGTATTGACTTCTCAATTCCTTCTTAGATGTTGGGCGACAAAGATAAGCATCTACAAGGTGTTTCTTCGTTATCCCCACATGTAGCCAGTGAAGAATAGCTATAAACTCTTCAACCATACCGCTAACAGATAATACAAGGTTTTTAGCTTTATAAGCTCTTGCGATTTCGGATGCTACCTTTTTGTGCTTCTTTGTTTCTGTGAGGTTGAAGCAGAACTTCTTTGCACTGTAATGATTATGGATTTTTTAGTTTGCTTCGAAAATGTCCGAAAATTGGCATGAAATTCATCGTTGAGTTTTCGTTGTTGGAAGAACCTTTGACGAAACGGCGCTGGTGGTAGTGCCTCTAGTTCTCGTTCGTCACCCCTATCTTGTGTTTCAAGTTAAGCTTTGTTGCGGAGTTAATCTCGAAGTTCATGCAAACTACATAAGATCTTCTAAAAG